CTCTCCTCAAACTATCCTCAGAGCAAACGGCTTGATCACCGGCAATCTTTGAACCAACACAACATTACAGACAACATAACAGACTAGAATCAGTGTAGTTATAAGACCATCTCTGTCTTTTGACAAGAGATCTCATTAGACTTTTACCGTACTGCCCCGCAGGGCAGGAGACCCGGGGAGGAAGAGTCAGTTGTGGACATTGAAGGCTTTGAGGAGGAAGATGATGGCAATCCCAAAACTCCTGCTCCTGTAAGAAAGACGGATTTATTGACAGATTATGTAGATTTGAGGTCACCGGTACATTCAGGCACAAAAAAACATTTGCCACCAAGTACGCTCACATATTCATGCGAGTTACTAAATCACTTCAAATTCGGTTCAAGCCTTTTCTGAGGCCTAATATTCGAATCCAGCTAAATTCAAGAACAAACAAACTATTCTTCAATTTCTAATATTTGCAGTTGGATGGCCTGGTTGAGGTGAAATGGGGTTAATATTTTCACGCTTTGGGAATTGTACAAATCTATTTCTTTGTACACTTTCATCTCTTTCTTTGTCAGACTGGCACTTTTCAAACATTCTCTTTGTGCTATTTAATCATACTATTTTAATGATTTATTCTCTTGATTTGTAATTGTATTTTTGTACATTTACTAACGCTTCAGCTTGCTTTCTTCTTGGTTAAGTGTTTATAACATATTTGTCTGCCCTGTCTTTTGAGGCCGAGGACGCAGACGGAGATCTCGAGGACGACGATGACGAAGAGGACATGTTGCTGCCCCCTCGCAGACAGATGCTCGACCATGAAGAAGAGGAGGAGGAGGAGGAAGACGACGGACTATCTAACCGCCCGGCACAGGCCAGCGTCCTGTACCAGGACCTGCTCATGTCTGACGGAGAGGACGACGCCAGCGAAGAGGAGGGCGACAACCCCTTCTCCTGTAAGTCCTGGGGAGGCAGCAGGAAGTCACAGCTGTACTAAAACAAAAGTTATTTAGAAATAGAAAAATCCTCATGACAGCAGTATTGTGCTGCACATTTACACTTAAAGGTCTCCTATTATATTATTTACGAATATATTATAGGTCTCAGATATATAAAAAACATGTCTATGAAGTGTGTTGCTCAAAATACCAAACAGATCACCCATTCTAGCCCTGCCTCATACCCCTCTATTTCAGCCCTGAAATAAACTGGGTCAAAGGAATGGGCCTAGGAAAATATAAGACATCAAAAAGTGCATTTTGCATAATAGGGGACCTTTAATGGCATAATAATAATAATAATGAATCCTTTGTGAAAACCATGTGTAGCCTCTCATGTTGTTTTGAGTTGCGTGTCATTTGTCCTGATGCCTTGTGTTTCCCCTCCAGCCATACAGCTGTCGGAGAGTGGCAGTGACTCTGACCGAGAGTTGTACGTGCGACCCACTCCTCCACGGAGAACTCAGGAGACGGCCCGAGCCACTATGGAGCAGGACGAGAGCATGATGTCATATGAAGGGGACGGGCCTGATGTTCCTCACATGGAAGACAGCAACGTCAGGTACAACTGGCCCAGAAGCCGATCATTCTCTGCAACTGTACTGAGGAACGAAGAGGCTTATAATGGCGCATTTCCACTGGAGGGCCTCGCACGGCTTAGTACGGTATAGTTAGACCTTGGTAGGCCAGGCTCACTTTATGCTGCGTTTCCATTACAGTTTAGGAACTGGGGTAGTAACTATAGCAGGGGTCGGCAACCCCTGGCACGCGTGCCACCATTGGCACGCAGCACCGTAACCAGTGGCACACTAGGAATAAGTGGAATAAGTGTGCAAAATATTTTTATTTTATTTTCGGATCCGATACGGGGAGACCGCCGCCAGAGCGCGTCTCCCCGTTACCTGCAGAAGGAAGCCATGCACGCAACGCAGCCCCGCTCTATTTAACTCCAGGCGACTTTCTGCCGCTTTCCTCCGTAGTGCAGTGCTGATCGTTTCACCACAGAGGAAAGCACTTGCAGTAGGCTACCCATAAGGAGCTTTACAAATGCCGCAGTTTTTGCGTGGCTGTGTCTTTAGTTGAAAGCCCAGTGGCGATCTGCTCATCTCTCAACAAAATAACATGCTACACAGGGGCGGACTGGCCATCTGTGTGTTCTGGAGAATCACAGAACGGACGATCGTCCTTATTATTACGCCGTTTAAACCAACTATTTAAATTTGTTCATGTAAGTTGCTCTGACAGGTCCACACACCGCAGCGAGGCTCCCCCCACCCTCCTGTTGACAGTTCACGTCGAGCTCCTCACCCCCCACATTTTAAATGGTGTTTTGCCTGCCGTCTTGTCTGCAGACTTGTCAAAGCATTAATTCATGGTTTTTACTAACCGGTATCAGTATGTTGTTACTTCAGCATCATTTTGAAACGTGTATTACAATTAAATCACGGTAAAATATGTTCATTTTGTTGTAGTTGCCAGCAATTCTCTCACTTTAGCATACTCAGCCCGGTTGTTGGCCCGGGAAGAACCTCGATTTTGGAGAGCCAGAAAACTGTGAAAAAGTACCCGCTAGCCGGAACTACGCCTAGTGGAAACGCAACCAAAAACGGGCACGGCACGGCAAGCTTAAACCGCGCTCCGCGCTGTAGTGGAAATGCGCCATTATGTTTACAAGCAATTTGTTTAAGTCACTCTTTTAGGAATTTTTCTTCTTTGACAAAAAGCAATTGATTTATTTTCTTAGCTACTATAACAATAAAACTAATACAGAGATGTGATTATTACATTAATAATCGAATCTCTATTGCTTAATAATGACATACTGTATATGAATAGTTTTGAAAACAGGGTTTGATTTTATGAAGATCTTAAGATTATTACTTAAAACACCTCTTGTTTGACTCCCCTCTCTTCCGTCTCAGTTACGGCAGCTATGAGGAGCCAGAGATCCGGAGTCAGTTGCAGCCCTCCAGCCTGGGAAACGGAGAAGAATACGGCATCAGCGAAGAGGAGGAGGAAGATGAAGAAGATGAAGCACGGAGGAGAGCCCCAGCTGTGCTATCCAAGGTCCAGCTCAGTGAAGACGAGGAGAGCGAAGAGTTCAGATCAATAGGAGGAGACAGCGACATGGACTCTGAAACCTAGTGACATTTTCTTTTCTTTCTACCCGCAGTATTCGGAAAACATTGTTTATAATCACAGTTTTATGTGGAGAAAATACGATTTCCAAGGAGAAAATGTTGTACATACTTTTGTAAATTATCGTTTGTAGCTTGCTCCTCTACTGTAAGCTCTGCTGCACCTACAGTTAAGAGACACACAGCATATTGTACATTTCACTTTGCCTTTTATAAGTTGTATCTTGACATCTGTGTACATTTGTTTTGTACCGTTTAAACTCAATCATATACCGCGCTCTCAAATTGTTAAGAAGCGACTTTTCTATCCCACTTCCTGATTAAAACATAGAATAAACACACTGTAGGTTATTAGACGGCTCTTTGAAAAACACAAATTCATGTACTTCTAAAAGATATTAGAAGTATATTAATTTATCATGTACTTAAGCTGCAGTTAGAGATCATTAAACATTAACTTCTTTAAAATTTAAATTTGCCCAGGAAATGTATAGAATGAGCATTGTTTGTATTCTGATAGTTTTAACTCTCCAAGTGCTAAAAAAAGAATGAAGCTTTGTGAAATAAAGTGGTTTAAATCTAAAACATCCACTTGTTTTTCCATATTGACATGTTTAATCTAAAGACCACACGCACCACCAGAGATGAACTTGGTTTGATTACATTTGAAGTCAACTTTGATGGATGCTGTGTGTGCAGTTGGGGAAACAAACCACAAGGCCCACTGCATGCCAACTAAAGAAAATGATTACAACTTCACTGGGTTTGGTTTGACTTTATTGACATATGACTGTTTTTGCCGACATTCTGACATGTCATCACAGGAAAAGCACAGATCTAAGTCACTTTAATGTAAGTAATAGCTGCATAACATTTAGATGAGCTGGCTGCAGGACCCTGGTATCGTTTATGGTGGAAAGACTATCCACAGTATGTAGTCATAAAATAAAATTGCACACAAGCCACACCTCCATCTATTTCTCGGTAACAAGACCACTTCCTATTGAGCATGAGGTCACCTTTTGTGTTATTCTCACAGTGCTTGATGGCAAACTGCACACTTCCTGTTGTGTCAATTCTGCAGAAAAGTTTATTCTGGAATTGTCGCAGCAACGTGAAATTTGACTTCCATATTAGGTCAAACTTCACTTTTAAAAGGCTTTTATAATGCTGGTATTTCACATTCAAATCAGCATAGAAAAACCACTTCTGTAACAAACACTGATAACATTTAAATTCCTTATATTACAATATTCCACATCACACCGTTTATTGTTTAAACAACCTTGTTTCATTTCAGCACACAGGATGATTGGTCGTATGAAGTCCCAACCACGAGGATGCTTCTGTCAGGTGTTGCTCAGAGAATTGCCAATTACACATTCTGAGATCTTAATCTACAACCTGTTTCAGATAAAGATGACCCTGTCAATCAGATGGAAACCTCAAAATGTAACATGCCTTTATGAAAGATTATTTCCACAATCTACTGCTGCTCATATCTGCTTGTTTTTAAATATAGATTAGAGAGAATACTTTGTTAAAATGTAGAAAGTAACATTTTAATGACTTTTTCAAAGTAATGTTACCTTTATCATTTGGTTACTTTTTGATTACTTTTTTTAAACTGTGCAAGAAAGCTTAAAAGTAAAAAAATAAATATGTACACTAATTTGTAAATTACATATTTTTCTCTGTATCTGTAGCAATAAAAGTTATTTTGTATTTTGATCACGTTACACTGTTTCTTTGAACTAGTCACTCCCCAGCACTGTTTAAATTATTATGAAGGCAGGCATTCAAGTAAATAAATATTGGATATGACATAAACATCTGTTTTTATTCTACCCTATCAAAATGTTAGGCTACTATCAGGGATTCACCATTGAGTGGACGGCACATTTCTGCCTCTGTCAGGTGAGGCGAAAATGCGTCCATGATCAGAGAGGTGTCCTTTATCGGGGTGAGGGATCCTGCTGGGGCTGAGAGAATGAGACCTCAGCAGCCGCTCGGAGGCTCTCACTGCGTGCAGCGAGCTGTTGGAGATCATGGCCGCTGAAGAAAGTGAAGGAGACCAGCAGCCCGACACATTGCTGACAGATGATGCACCTGAGAAAACATTAGGACCAATTTTCACTGCTGGGTGTAAGGAATGTGGTTTTCTTGTGTTTTCTTATTTTTATGTGAGAAAAAATATCCAAACCTGATGCTGTGGAAGTGATATGGTCAAGAAATTGGCAGTCCTCTGTGTCCAAACTTCTGCTGTTCCTCACAGCCTGAAGGGAGCGGAGGCTGGTCCGCAGAGGTGTCCGCGTCCTGTCTGGTGATGTGGCTGCAGAAGACACAAGGGTCACATGTGCACACACTCAAATACATAAACACAAATGTATTATACCTATACATATGCTATGTGTACCTTGATTCTGTTTCAGCAGCTTGAACTGGATGACTTGCTGGTGTAGTCTGGCCAGTTTCGGACTTTGGCAGCCCTGCTTAGCAACTGTTGGTGAGCGGCGAGGGGAAGAGCTCAGTGACGAAAGACCAGGCTGCCAACAAGAGGAAGAACAAATATTAGTTTTATTTGCTGCAGGTAAGTTATTACTATGTTCAACAGTGGTGTTAAAATAAGACAGAAACATTACTGATGGCTCAGGGCTTCTCGTCCTGGTAGGTGTGGAAACATAGGCTTGTCTTAAACCTGAAAATGATAAACCAAGGTTATCACAATCCAACCAAAATGTAGTATGCAGTGTACACTAAATCATAAAAACACTGCTCTGTACTCACTGGCTTCCTGTATACGGGCCATGATGTGGACGTCTTTGATGTCCTGCAGTCTGTAGTTTGTATATATCGTGTCGCGCGAGATGCTCAGCTCATTATGATCTGATTAGAATAATACATATAAAATAAGGGCTAATAGAATATATTACATTAAGATGGAGTTGGATCCTTAAACTCTCCCTTTTGTGTTACCTGAACTGACAGATGTTTTGTACATAGAGGAACCCATATTATGATGAAAAACTGCAGGATGTCTGTAGTAAAAACTGCCTGATCCTGACAATACAGAAAGAGGGCATAAGATAAATGTGACCAAATTAATCAACCAAAATCAATCTTAAAATCAAAAATATTAGGCAGACAATAAGTGCTGATGCTTACTTTGATTCAGCCAATTTATCAGTGAACGACATGCCGCCTCCATCTCAGGACTGGGGTTATCCAAGACGTGTCGACACCATCTGAGGGCAGACTCACTTCTCTCCTCTAACTCCTGCTTCTTTGGAGACTCATATAACCTGTGAGGAATACGCAATTATCTGACACTGAACATATCTCACTACAGCTCTATGTCAAGGTGGACCTGTTTGGATGAGTTGTCTTGTCAAATACCAAAAACCAATAGCATCCTAACATCTTTTCAACTGCATGGGGACAAGGACAATAAATCAAACCTGGGTCTGTGTCTTATTTAAAGTTTAAGGAGATACATTACAGGGAGAATCATGCTGTTTGGATTTTTTGCACCATATGCTGTTTGTTTTTACTACACTTTGTCTATTGTACTGCACATTTGTAGATTTCTCCTTATTTGACCAAAGAAACATTAGATAAAGCCTAATTTGCATGTTCATAACACATGTAATGCATAACATGTTCTTGATGCAAGTAATCAACTGAAAATATGAATTGTAATTCTTTTACCTTATTTACATGAAGTGTCCATTAACATTGTCCCACCCTTAAGTGAGAAATAATTAATTAAGCCCCACTCTCAGAGAGAATACTGCTGAAGGTCTGATGGCACCTACCAGCTCTCTTCATCCTGCTCACCCTCCTCTACCTCAAGAAGCTCTACTGAGTCCAAAGCCGAGTCTTCTTCCCGGGAGTCTTCACTGTCCCAGCTGTCATTTTGACAGTTATACTTGTACAACATCCCATCCGTGGAACAGGGTGAATGGCACCCTGACTTCAAATGATCTAGTCTTATTCTAGCATCCATGGCAAATGACCGATTGTTACAATTCTTGACTTCTGTTTGCTCAGTGTCCTTCCAGATGCTGCAGTATGGATCTGAATTGCCCTTCAGCTGCACAGAGTTGTTTGTTAACTCATTGCAGAGATGATGATGGTTTGGTCTTGTATAAAACTCCTCTGGTGGTTGATTGCAGATATACGGGCTCCAATCGCCCTGGAGTTGGTTTTGGAGTTCCATTTTTCTCATCCAAATCCTCAAATCTCCTTTAAATTCTTGTCCTTACTCCTCCATTTTAACGATGTTATAGGTGGACCAAAATCAGACAAAATTGGGCTAAATCTTCATCCTCAACAATGTGATTCTTTAAAATTCCAACTATGGTTCTTTTGCTCTGCAGGAGCTGAACTGTGTTTAGCTTCACCATAGCAACTATTGACCCAGATTTGTTGATTAGGGCGCCGTTAAGTTTAGACACCTAACAGATTGGCTGGATTTAAGAAGCATCATGAGCTTATGTGGATTAAGGAGTCGAGGAGTTGCTACCAAGAAAATAAAAAGAGACACCCAATTACTATACCATCACAAACTATGGTAAACCTATAGGTTATAGCCTTGGTTGAGCGATACAATATGTCACAGTGGTGTTTATCTTTTAGGGAGATTTAGACTTTACATTCAGACCACTCTCACTGTAGTATAAGATAAAACATGTTTTCCAGAACCATGTCACTTTTTGTTCATGTGGTGTTTGGAGCTTTTGCTGAATGTTTGTAGTGTACACACACACACACACACACACACACACACACACACACACACACACACACACACACACACACACACACACACACACACACACACACGCACAAGCAGATTAACACAAGAATGAGAGCTTCCCTTAGAGCCATGTGAAACATAAGATTATCTTTCTTTCTCACCCAAACCAGCGGCAAAGTGCTACTTTGTTCTTTACGGCTCAAAGGAGATAAATGTAAATCAAATCAGATATGAAGACCATTTAATCAGCTACTTTAAATTATGTTAAATCGGGCTACTTTAAAGGTGGGGTAGGTAAGTTTGAGAAACCGGCTCGAGATCGCTAGAATTTGAAAATACACAACCGGAGAAAGTCTGCCACTTCCTTATAGAGCCCCTCCTCCAACACACACGAACGCGCACATGACCAATGAGGGCACGAGATAAGTTTGTGCACAGATGGAAGGCTGACAGGCAGGTAGGCCATCCAGTTATTTTAGCCGGGCCGGCTAAAATAATTGGTCGTGCTTTTTACAGTACTACAGCTTCCACAGATGACATTTTTTTATGGGTTTTTTGTCAAAGCACTTAAGATATTCATTGCTATCGGGATGTTAAGAGCATTCCATGGAATATAACAAAAAGTGTATTTCGAGCCGGTTTCTCAAACTTACCTACCCCACCTTTAAGTGATGTTAAATTGAAGCCTCCAAGACTGATTTAAATGAACATGAGGGTTAAATGGGCTACAATTACTAGCATGACATTGGCTCAACTTATAAAAACATAAAACATAAAAATAAGTTAAACTGTGAAAAGCTCAGGTTGCATTGTGCATTTGACTAATTAGCATAGCATGTCCCAGTTAGCTAGCATGTAGCTACCTGGGAACTAGGAGGACTAGCTAACCAACTAACCCTATGAAGGATTTGGAACAGTTTGTACATAACTTGAATATGAAATTCAAGTTATTTCATATTCAAGTTGAGTTTTTAATCCATGTACACATGTGTATATGGTGTTTGTTTTAATGATGTACAATAATGTAGGTATATGGAACCCCATTTCCGCAACTTAAACAAAAAGAAATCCCCATGAAAAGTCACAATTATGAGATAAAAAGTCACAATTATGAGATAAAAAGTCATAATTATGAGATAAGTGTGCATCTTGTCAATATTTCTTTACTGCTTTTAGCCACTTTTTGTGAACATTGTTTTCAGTTTAAGAACATGTTTACGTTTCAATGCAGAGAACTTTCTGTGAATACCTCAGTTAAGGAAGTAGTTTAAGATTGATGGTTTATATTGCTAGACTTCACTAATAACCTGAGTCTAAATCAGTTATTTCAGACAACATACTGTTATGGTAATTACATGGTTTATATGTGGTAATGTCTAGGGTCATTTGGGATATGAAAGACAAATGGAACAACCTTACTCTGTGTTTCATATGTTATATTTACAACTTGTGTTTATTGAAAATGAAAAGCATTTGACGTTCATCTAACCTCCAGAACACATGCACCAAATAACCAGCCCCACTGTTCTTTCTGAAGAAACACCACTTGACATCAGGTTCACCCGTTACCATGTTGGGAAATAAGTGATTTATTACAAAAACAAGAGATGTCACATAATAGTCCAATGTGTTACAATTGACATATTCCTTTTTTAAGCACTATTCTATTCAGGTGCTGTTCTTGTTATTTACCAAAAGACAGCTTGGCATTTAAACCACTCATAAACGTATCGATGGATTACGATAAAAGGCTGCTGATGCTGTAGCAAGTTAGATTAAAATGCAGTCAAAATGAAAACAGCAATTTTGTATGCTATTTGTTTAAATAATTGAATAAATAATTGAATTAATACATGTGTGTATTTTGCATTTGTATCCTGTTCTTACACATAGTCAATCTAAGGGCAACACATTACTTTGTTTGTGTGTACATACAAATATATGTACTGAGAATATTTGATACATCTTTGACGTGTCTCAAACAGCTACAATTATATTTTAATTCATCACAGGTTAAAGTATATTATAATTCTGACAATTGCAATCATCTCATAATGACTTTTTATCTCATTATTTCGACTTTCCTATCTCATAATTATGACTTTTTATCTCATAATTATGACTTTTTATCTCATTATTTCGACTTTCCTATCTCATAATTATGACTTTTTATCTTATTATTTCGACTTTCCTATCTCATAATTATGACTTTTTATGAGTTTTTTTTTTTTTTTAAGTGGCGGAAATGGGCTTCCATATAGGTATTCGTTAAAACTTTTAAAACTCGAAACTTTCACTGAGTAGGCCTACACCCACATACAGTCCAGTCCGTGCGTTGATCTCATGTACAGGACAGACAGAGAACCACATAATGACAAAGATTTCCAGATATATGTTTTGTTTTTATTAAACAATGTCCCTCCCATGGTCCCTCCCATGACTAACATCTCTGAATACACCCTGGCCTCCTCTCACACAAAGCAGAGCAGGTTGGAGGAGGTGTCTCCCCCTCCTGCACTTGCGCTCTGCCTCCCTGCCCTTCACCTCACCGCCCCCGGCCTGCTGTTTCCTCCTCGTCACCGCGGATGTCTCCCTGCCTCTGCCGCTTCGGTTAACACCGAGCGACAGGACTTATTCAACTACCTCTAAAACTACAGCAACGTGGCGTACTTCTCAGAGGACTCTAGCGTGTAAAATATGGATTAACAGGGTACAAATAAAATTGTGAAGCACCACCTGCAACGGGGGTGGGAAATGCAGGACGAAAGCGGCAAAGCGGCACTCGGCAGCCCCGGAGTAGCAAGTGCAACCACAGCGCAGGTATGTTTGTTATTCACACTCCAACCACATCACTTTTGTTTGACTCCAAACGAAACGTGGGTCACTCATTAGTTTACCCCAGGTCCCCTGGCGTTTACAGAGTTCGTGGCAGGACAGCAGGTAACATTTGTTTAGAGTCTAACCTGTCTGTCCACATCGCTCTCACCTCAGGCTTGCCTTTAGCTTCACCCTTCACACTGCAGACCGTAGAGATAAAGCGTGTGTACTCAACAGATGTGTGTGCCCAGACATTTCCCAAGTTTTTACACGACCACTCACACAGATGATGGTTGTGGTGGTTTAATGATGGTATATCCCGTTATTCAACTTAATTAAAGCACTTTGGCATTACAATTAATTTCCCCAATCATTCCCTGAGGTGAAACTTTTTTTTTTGTGATACAATATTCAGGACTTTTTTCATTTACCTCTGATTTAGCTAACATTTACATTGGTGCTTTTTTAAAGCCATTTGGGTAAGTCCTCAGCAAATAGATATTTCTGATTCTGATTTTGAGAACTGGAATGATCACACATAGTCCTCAATCTAATTTAATAAGCAATTAGTCAATGGAGAAGACCGTAATCACCAGCAATTAAAATAACATAACACCAAACCTCGCCAGACTCCATCTTCCAGTGATGCTGATATCTTGGCTAGGACATTTGCCTGGGGCTTTTCAATGTCACCTGTGCTTATTTTCTGTATATATTTCTGATTTGAATTGAAGAAAGAAAGTAGTTACTTAAGCTGTAGATTACTCAACATAGAAAATATCCGTCAATTAATAGAGATGTCTGCTTCTTATATTCATTTATTTGACATGTTGATTATGGATATATCTTTCGCTCTTTTTGCACAATATTTGATACATTTATTTGAAACGTAATCAGCCCTCAGGTTACTCTAGGGCCTGGCACTGCAATTGTTTAAACAGATTCCTTTGTTATATCATCTTGTTAACACAACTACATATTGCAGTACCTTCCCAGACAACTACTTGTCACTTTGCCTCCATAAGTTACATATGAACACATACTCTTATTGTGCAGGCCCTACTTGGGGAGACCATACATCTCAAAAGACATTACATTTCAAATGACTCAGAACTTCTTTAATGAAACTGTGGTTATTGTGTGGGTGTCATTTAAATAATTGGTTAATTATTCATCTTTAAACACATAACTATGGCCGTAAAAAAAAGCAGAAGCCTGGCTGCTATATCATTCTGTTAGACTTCCTCCCTGCTACCTGACATGAGATGGTCAGAGATGGATAGTTCCTGTCTTGTTCGAAGTGGATTGTCTGATTGAAGGAAGAGGAAGAAAAAGTACAGTTTGTGGTTTTTAACATTTCAAGAGTTACAGACAGAATGGGGAGACTTTACACACAGCTTGTTTGACATTAGAAATTAAAGATCATCGACACACTAAGACAAACTCGGTAATATTGAACCCAATTTGAGTACATTTTGGTACCCAGTACTGGTTCAAGCTAGCATCATGTCTGTTACTTGGTATCTATGAGCATAAAAACCACAGGGTCAACAATCACACCCTTTTTATGGCTGAGTATTAGGGTTGTTTCCATTTTGTTTTTCAGCCAAACCTATAAGTGGTTATTTTGACTCAGTCAAAAT